ACCCAGCATGATGATGTCACCAGAGACACAGTGGCGTGGGGACAGATAATAGAGAGAAACAATAAAGAAAACCTGACTACGACCTGGCTTCCTTCCATGATGCTCTTCATTGTTTACTTTCCTGATTTCTGTCGCACTAACCCAGCATGATGATGTCACCAGAGACACAGTGGCGTGGGGACAGATAATAGAGTAAAACAATAAAGAAAACCTGCTGTGTCTGAACGTCCACCTTAATCACTATATAGAGGTTACGCAGTTTTAAACGAGTGTCCGAACTTTGGCCGTTTCTCAATTCACTAGAACGCGAGTACGGATTCGTGTCCTCGCCAATTATGTTCTTGACTAGAACCCAGTAAAGTCTGGACTCGGGGAGAACGGGAGCACGCAGAATAAATCTGGCTTAACAGAAGCGTACTGATGACATCATCACATTCAAAGCTAGTCTGGAGTTTCATTTCACCTCCTGTTATTAATAGTCTCTAGATTATAATAAATTATGACTTTTTTCATTCAGAGGAGGAATAATAATGAACACAGTCAGATTCACTTTGCATCTTTTCTGTTGTTTTTCTTTATGTATTAAACATTTCTATCAAAACTATATAAGATATTTTTTCTAAAACTGCTGAAAGATTTCATTTGCTCTACGATCTCCTGACTTTCCCCCGATGTGGGACAATAAATAACATTTCTGTTTTATTCTACTAAAACTTGATTAAAAAAATAAAAGTCTTTCCCTTCCCTGAGAAACTAAATAAGTTTTTTAAATAGCCCCGCCCCCAAAAAACAAAAATAAATAAAGCTTTCAAAGACTTTAGGACACACTGTATATACTGTATATCTCCCATTAACCTTCCTTTGGCACCTTCTCCTTTGACTATTTGAGCTGTTAGAACGAGGTCATTTCTCCGCTGTGAGATCAATCAATCAATCAATCAATCAGGACATGAACTGAGCCTGGAGAATTATCGCTGATTGTTTTCCAGCCTGGAATTGCTTTAAACTCTTCAGGTCAGCAACATGCCTACAAATCATCGGTATTCCAGGGAATTCAAATATTACCATTAACCCTTTACAGGGTGCAGAGTTATTGTGTTAGGATAATTATCATTGATGATGTGTGAGTTTATTTCATCTTAATATTAGCTGCCTGTTGGATCAGAACGGATGTTTTCCACAATAGTTTATCTAATTAGGACAGTTCCTACAGTTATAATCTTCATTCTGCACGTGGCAAAGATTTGTGAACGGAATGAGAGCGGCGTCCTTCAGCTAAGAACAACATGTCCTATTGTGATAAGGCTGGAGCCATGGATGTCTATCATCTGCTATAGGATGTAAAATGTGTCAGACTGGAGACGCATAAAATGCCTCGTTAACTGTTAATCGGGGCCACTTCCTGAGAGGTGAGCAGCTGCCTTCTGTAACTCTAAGCAACTTCTCTCATCTGAGTAGGATTATAATTTCTATCAGAATCTGTCGTCGTGTCTCCTGATTATTTAATACCTATAAGTTATGAAATGTTATTTAAAGAGTTTTTCCCAAGTGATCTCATTTTAGCAAAAAGAACAGGAGAAAGAAATCTTCAAGGCATAGACACACAGATAGCCTATCTATAACAATTGGAATCCAGGACAAGACATTATTACCTTTATAACATTAAAAAATATGGATAATTGATGGTAAAGATAAATGTCAATGTAACAACAAGAAATGTCAACTTGCCCGAATATATTAAGAAAAATAACAAACATGCTTCTATAAGAACTCCTTTAAAAACACTGTGAGAGAAAGAAACACATTTTTTTGATCAAACGTAACCTAAATATAATTATTAACTAGGCTTATTAACTTTTTATCTTTACTTTTTAACTATTCAATTAGCTTTTTACCTTTTTTCCCCCAAATTAATTTACAGCAGTAATATATTATTCCAGGGCTCATCTAATTGGTCAAATGCCAAAATAAGATGTAAACTAGAAAAAAAATCCAAATCTAGATCTAGTCTTTTTTTCTTAAAATAAGTGCATTTGTTCTTGGATTCAGGAGGTAAAAGAGACACTTTACACTTCAAATAAGAAAATTCATTGTCTTATTTCAAGTTCATATCATTTTCTAAGAGTAAAAATCCTCATTCATTAGCAGACTATCTCATTTATCTACTTCATTTAGGAAATTTTAACTTAATTCTAAGATTGTTTTTTCAGTGTGCAGCTTTTTAGCAGCATCTTTGCTGGATATAGATCTTGTGCTTCTAGATCTCACTGATGGGGGGGGGGGGGGGGTGTAAAGGGTTAAAGACTAATTTATTGTTTTCTCTGGAATTATTGATTTTAAGTATAAACATTCATTGATAGTGAGGAACATCTTTTAACAGCGAACCCTTTAAATGATGAACATTAATGTGAGTCTTTCTCTTCCGGTGAGGAACATCTGTTCAATATTAATCTGTTTTCAGATCATTTTATTCCTATAAACTCATTTCTCGGTCCCTCTTAGCTGCGGTTGCTAATCGCTTCTAGCCGTTGCTGCCGTAGAGCAACGGGCGCCCCCCCCCCCCCCGCCTGTCGGAGGAACAGCGGCACCGGGAGCCCCCCCGGCCCCCCCACAGCAGCTGTTCCAAAGGCGGTGGAGGGGGGACTCGGCCCAACATGTCGGACTTACTGGAGAAAAACGCAATGAGCGTCGTCTCCTTCTCCTCCGTCCAGCACCTCTCCAAGATGAAGCTGAGCGGAGCCGCCGCCATGTTTGTTGTTGCCGTTTAGGCGTTCTTCTAGTTGGCCACGAGGTCACATGACGATAAAGCGAGGCTCTGATTGGTCCAGTCCATGGCGCTTCAGCGTCATGATTGAAATTGCCCAATAGAGGGCGCAGTTGGTCGATGTTAATATTGGCTGATAGAATGGAGGAAAAATAGATGCAGGTGACTGACTGA